TAGAGATTGCCCCATGCAGCGTTCTCAATGTGCTAAAGCTTTTAAGAAATTCTGAACATTACTAAAAATGGAAGGAAATTGCTACTGTGATAAAAGTTTTGGATAGAAAGGAGAGATGTAGTAGTGATGGGTGATTTCAACAATCCGGATATTTGCTGGAAGTCAAACTCAGCCAAAACTTTAAGGTCTAGCAAATTCCTCACTTGCCTCGAAGACACTTTCATTGTCCAAAAGGTAGAAGAGGCAACAAGAGGATTCACTATTTTAGATCTGATCTTAACCAACAGGGATGACCTGTTAATGGGGTGCAAGTGGTGGGATCCTTAGGTGGGAGTGATCATGTTCTCCTGGAGTTTGTTATACAGTGGAAAGGAGAAACTAGGCATAGTCAAACACTCATTCTAGACTTTAGGAGAGCTGATTTCAGTAAACTTAGGGAAATACTGGGGGTGATCCCATAGTCAGGAATACTAAAAGAGAAGGGAGTTCAGGACGGATGGAAGTTTCTCAAACAGGAGATACTAAAGGCACAATTTAAAACAGTTCCAATGAGGAGAGATGTGAGGTGTTTCAAGAAACAGGATGGATGTCTAAAGCACCTTCAACTGAGCTAAGTTTTAAACAGTACATGTATAAGAAATGGAAAAAGGGGAAAATCACCAAAGAGAAATTTAAACAAATAGCTAACATGTGTAGGGGTAAAGTCAGAAAAGCTAAAGCGCAGAATGAACTCAGACTTGCTAGAGAGGTTAAGAACAATAAAAAAAGGCTTTTTTGTTATGTTCATGGCAAAAGGAAGAAGAATATAATAATAATAATAAATTTTTATTTGTAGCCCGCCCCTCTGCAAGGCAATCGGGGCGGGGGACAACAGCATATTAAAACAGATCAACATTAAAACATTCCTATTCCCTTTAATCCTTTCCTCCCCCCACCCCATCCCCTTAAAACAAGATTAAACCGCAGAGTAGTTAAAATGCAGTGTTAATTAATTAATAAATTAAAACAAAATTTTTACAAAGGAGGCAGACAAAATGGTGGCCCCTCTTTTGGGCCGACTGTTATTCCGGGAAGGCCTGCCGAAAGAGATCCGTCTTTACTGCTTTCTTGAAAGCAGCAAGAGTGGTAGTAAGACGGATGGTAGCGCCATTGCGTGGAAGAGTTAGGGAGCTGGATATATTTAACCTGGAGAAGAGAAGGTTAAGAGGTGATATGATAGCCTGGTTTAACTATTTGAAGGGAGGGTCATGTTGAGGAGGGAACAAGCTTGTTTTCTGCTGCTCCAGAGGAGAGGACCGGAAGCAGTGGATTCAGTCTACAGGAAAAGAGATTCCACCTAAACATTAGGAGGAACGCCCTGACAGTAAGAGCTGTTCGACAGTGAAACACACTCCTTTGGAGTGTAATGGAGTCTCTTTCTTTGGAGGTCTTTAAACAGCAGCTGGGTGGCCATCCATCGGGAGTGCTTTGATTGTGAGTTCCTGCATGGCAGGGGGTTGGACTGGATGGCTCTTGTGGTTTCATCCAACTCTATGATTCTATAATTTGTAATTTATTTTTGCATTGCAAGAATAATTTTAACGAAAATTGCATGGTTGCTTTGTTTTGTAGACTTCTAAAAACCACAAGAATTGGATGGATGCATAACATCTTTCTGATTAATGAACAATGCTTGTGTACTTTGTGTGGTGTTCATGCACGTGTGCGTATGCTTTGCTTCACTTCACAAAGAGAATGCAGACTAGAGCTGCACAGTGAAATTTTGCACAAATTACAAAAACCTCCAGAGGGGGAAAAACACACACAATTTTTCTTCTTGGAGTGTCAATAAGGGAAGCTGTGGGATGTCAGATTACTTGTTCTTAGGTTCTCCAGTGATCTCATCAAGAACAAGTCATTTGGTGAGATTTCTTCACATCTCTAGGTGGCTGTCTCAGGCAACAGATTTTGGCTGTTACAAAAGGGCAGCAAATTGTTAGTTATTTGATTTCTTGCGATTGCATTTTTACTATAAAGAAAAGGAAGAAGGGTTTGTGTGATTTTTCTCCCTCAAGTGCTAAAATAGCTTGGCTGGTTTTGGCTATTAAGCGCTGTGATGGAGGAGGAGGGGTGACATTTGCTTTTCTGGCTCAGGGAGCAAAATGTGTTGTGCTGGCACTGATCCAAAAGCAATTTTTTTTTTTGATCCACGAGGCTAATTCAGAAAGAGAATAATCTCTATGTCTCTGAAACTTTATGGAGGCCACATGCAAAAATCAGGTACACACAGCATTGTAACCATTGTTTCCTTGTTTAGCAAAAAGAAGAGAAGTAAAAAAAAAAGTGTGTCATTGTTACATCACAGATACACACACATTTCTTCCATGTGGTGGGCATTTTCCTTGGGTACATCACTTAAATGGGCTTGGTTTCCTCTGTAAGGAGGCTTCAATGGAGACTTAAGAGACTTTGAACATCTGCGATGTCATCAACTCCTTCACTGATACAGACAGCAAATATTTCACATTGCCATTCTCTTCAAAACTTGCTTTTGGTGTGGCCACTCTGTACTTAGCAAGGCTGCTCTTCAGATAGCAGATACTTATTTCACCATTGGGACACACTCAAAGCCTTACATTTTTGGCACAAATTGCAAGAGATTGTGCTGCCCTGACCTAGTCTTTCACAGCTCAGGGTCACCTCCACGGCCGGGGGCTTTGTGAAATGATATGTGGTCATGGATTTAATTTACAAATATAATAGATCTGACCCTCTAGATGCTGTTGGATTGCAACTTCCATCAGCACTACCCAGCCTAGCCAATGGTGAGAGATATTGATAGTTACAATCTTGTGTGCAGAGATTTGTGAGTCAGCATCAAGCACTCACCCACAAACCTAACTGACTATCATACTGGGTGAGAAACAAACAATTGCAAAATCTGATCATTTGTCCAAAGTAGGGGGAAAGTATGACCCCCCCCCTCAGGTTGTAACGCCAGACCTAGCCAGTAGAGCCAAAGGTGAAGGATTAGGGGATTTGCAGTCCACCTATATCTGGAAGGCCTCATGCGTCCCATTCCTGATGCAGATAAATGCATGCTGTGTGTTTGCTTGCTGCAGTGGACTAACCTAGTTGCCATTCTGTATCAGCAGTAATCACATCTCATAAGGCTCTGTTTCAAAGAGGCCTGTATAAGATTAAATAGGTATCATATAGAAGCTCATATAGACATTCATGCTGTAATAGATTCATTAGTATTTAAGGTACCACAGGCTTCCTTGTTTTGACAAAGCAGATTAATACAACTACTTTTCTGGAACGAGACTTTCAAAATAAAAGTTCTGCCAAACAGGCAAAGAGGGCTGGTCCAAGAAATGTTGCTTCCTATTGCAAAAAACACAATGAAATACTTCCGATTCCTTCCACATCCAAATGCCAATTGGAGAGGTACGTATGTCTTTCTTCAACACTGATGATAGGGCAGTTTCCTCCAGCACACTAGGCAGCTGGCTAGCTTAGGGAGTATAGGCCAAGATGCATGGCACACAGCATCTCATCCAAAGTGTACTTTGTTGTCCTCACCCAGCATTTGTGGCCTGAGGTGTCCACTGTACTCTGCCTAATGGTAAAGTGGAACCCAGTAACAAGCCCCAACTCCAGGAAACAGAAGCATTCCTTTGCAATAATCCTTGCATGCTACTAGCTATTGCTCCTGAGTGCTATTTTATCAGACATCATTTCATGACCAGTGTCAAAAATAGTTGAATATCTTCTGAGAACCTACACTTCAGCAGAGTACCCAATGAGAACAGCCCATATACCTGTACCAATCAGCATGGCCATGGGAAAGTCTGGGAGTTATAGTTAAGCGTAATCTTCCCAAGCTCAACATTCATCTTAATGCTTCTAAGCTCTGATTTTCCCTTAAATGTAAATTATTTTACATAATTTACTGGACAACTCTTATTTCTTCTGCTCACTGACTCTCTCCTAACCCCTTCCCCCAACAAATTGCTTCCATTTAGCGTTTAGTTTAAACAGCTTACAAGGGATTCTGGGGACAGTGCAGACCACAACCCGACTTCATGGTGTCTCTTACAAGATGAGCCTCTTGAACTAATAAATCATTATTCCTAGCCATGCTTCTGAGGTAGGATAGGGGAGGGTGAACAGGGTGGGAGATTTGGTGAATTCCCTGTAACAGGCCAAGCAAGAGGTAATCAGTATAACAATGGAGAAGTCCATGTTGAGGATTTTCTTAAAGTTCTTTTTTAAGTTAAAAAAGGCTGTAGGAAATGGGATGTAATCTTTATTATTAAATTATTTCTATACCAACCCAGTTTAACTGCAACCAAATTAGATCACATTCAAACAGAAGCCAGTTTAAATTTGTATAAAAAATGCAGTGTCAGAACTGAGGATATAATGTTATTATTACAATTATTATTACAGCTACTGTTATTACATATGATAAATATGATTTGAAAAAAGAACAACAATATATATGTGTGTGTGTGTGTGTGTGTATCTATATAGCATTTTATAGCAAAGTATGTAATGTCAACTTATACACCACTATTTGGCAATGAGGCCTTCAGAGTGGCTTCTACCATTTCAGTGCACTCATGCAACAGCCCTGTGAGGCAGACCATTTTGATTGTAGATTAAGAATTATGCCTTTATTTCCTATTCATTCATCAAATGTGTCTTCCACAGTTCCTGCAAGGCATTTAAGATGGTATACCTGGAGTTAATGAGTGTGTATAATCATGCAGGGGGAAGGAAAAGGAGATAGAACTGAATATAATGAACATTACTGAACGAAGACACTGTCTTGTAATAGAATCCAGTATTTTCTCCTTTGACTGCTAGCAGCTCTTCTAGGTCATAGGTAAAGATCCTTACCAACTAGAGATTCTGGGGACTGAATATGGAATATGCTGCATCCAAAGACTGAGCTGTGAATCTGCTGTAAAGCAAGCCAGACTGAAAATTGCCTACTGTATGCTTCATGGAGAGCCAGTGTGGCATAGTGGTTTGAGTGTTGGACTGCAACTCTGAAGTTCAGGTTTCAATTCCCTGCTTGGTCATGAAACCCACTGGGTGACCTTGAACAGGTCACATGCTCTCAGCCTGAAGGGAAGGCAATGGCAAACTTCTGAACAAATCTTGCCAAGAAAACCCCATGGCTTTAGGGTAGCCATAAGTCAGAAACAACTTGAAGGTGCACAACAATAACAAATGTTTCATGTATGAGCAAAACATGAAAGGGATGAATTGGAAGTAAAATGGACTCCACTTCCCTTCAGGCTGAGAGCATGTGACCTTCTGAGTAGCAGGTGTTTCTGTACATTAAAAAGTCAGGGTAAAAGGGTCTAACCCTGTTTTCCCAGAGTGATGGTGTTATTTTTTTAAACATGGGAAGGCATCTTTAAAAATGCAATTTTCTATCTTTGGTCTGACATGGAGCAATGTATCCTACCACCACATTTTTCTACATATGTAAACCAGAGAGATGCATATTAAAGACTCTTTAAGCAGTATGTTGCCCTCTCAGGGCTGTACCAGTTCCAACTTCAGGTGAGAAGCAGATCACACAATGTAATGCTCTTCCATTGGAGGGAAGAAAATTTCCTTCATATTTAAAAACAACAACCCAGTACCGGTACCAAATTTTAACCAAGGGTGCCCTGTATATGTCATAGAGTAATCGAATCATAGAGTTAGAAGAGACCACAAGGGCCATTCAGTCCAACCCTCTGCCATGCAGGAGGACAAAATCAAAGGACTCCCAACAGATGGCCATCCAGCCTCTGTTTAAAAACCTCCAAAGAAGGAGACTCCACCACACTCTATCAAACAACTCTTACGGTCAGGAGGTTCTTCATAATGTTGAGATGGAATCTCCTTTCCTGTAGTTTGAATCCATTCCTCCAGGTCCTGTTCTCTGGATCTGCAGAAAACAAGCTTTTTCCAAGCCTCAATATGACACCCATCAAATGTTTCAATGGGGCTATCATATTACCTCTTAACCTTCTCTTCTCCAGGCAAAACATATCCAGCTCTCTAAGTCTCTATTCTTAGGGCATGGTTTCCAGTCCCTTCACCATTTTGGATGCCCTCCTCTGGACATGCTCCAGCTTTTCAACATCCTTTTTGAATTGTGGTGCCCAGAACTGGACACAGTATTCCAGGTGAGGCCTGACCAACGCAGAATACAGTGGTATTCTCAAAGATTGTTGACAGTGGCTCTGAGATTACATTTGCCAGTTCTTTTCATACCTTTGGATGTAGTTCATCTGGCCCTGAAGACTTGAATTCATTTAGATTAACTAAGTATTCCTATATTACCTCTTCACCTATCCTATGCTTCATTTCCTCTACTGCATCATCTGCTTAATTTTCCTCAGGTTGAGCACTGTTTTGCTTTTGTGAGAAAACTGAGGCAATGAAGGTGTTGAGTAGTTATGCCTTTTCTCTGTCCCCTGTTAGCATTTCACTATCTTCTCCACACAATGGCAAGCAAGTAATTATATGTTTGGTGCCATTACTTTGCTTAATGGTAGGGATGGCGCCTTGTCTTGGATGCCCCTTGAGGAACCAAGGTGTCATGCCTCCTTCCCAGAGCATAGAAAAATGATCAGCGGCTAAGCTGACTAGAAGATTCTGGGAACTGTGTCCAAAATACCATTGAAAGCCTGCTTCTTTCCATTAGCACAGGAACGCTGGAAAAGGAATCAGTTCTATGAATGGCTTGAGTGCCAAATGGACAGATTCCTCACCTGTAAGTTTTTAAGTGGTGGACTGCAGCTTTGTTGGAAGGTGGAGAGAAGCCTGCAGTGAGTTGCCATTCCTGCTGCTGGGCCAACCTGCTTAGCTAAACCTTTTGGCTGAAGATGGTGGCTCAAATCCAATCATACTTATGCCAAGACTTAGCATTCTAGTAGGAAAGGCGGGAGGAAACAAAGCCTTTCTTCCTGGTCAACTGTGCTTTCATTGTAAGGATACAGTCCTCTGCACACTTTCTGTAAGCACCTCTGAACTTGCTAGGCCTTGTTTTTGAGTAAAATTTCTGAATATCATAAGGCTTCAAAATTTCTTTCTGCAAAATTATTACCTATGAACTGTACAAAAGAACACAGTTATCATTACTTGGTATGTGTGTGTATGTGTGTCTCATTCCCCTCCCCCCTGAGAGAGAAAGGCAAGTCTTTTAACAATTTGTACCTCATTCCTCAACCCCTTTATTTAGAATAAGTATATGTCTCAACAATTTTAGTGTACTGCAATTATGACCACTGATGACCTTCACAAGTTCAACCTAGACAATGAAGAAACAGAAATGATAAAAGAATTCCCATACCTGGGATCAAACATTGATGGAAATGGGGACTGCAGTCAGGAAATTAGAAGAAGATTAAGAATGGGGAGGGTGGTTATGAAAGAATTAGAAAAGATTCTAAAATGCAAAGACATACAACTCAGCACAAAAGGTAGACTCATACAAGCCATTGTATTCCCTAATACCATGTATGGATGTGAGAGCTGGACAGTTAAGAAAGATGATAGGAAGAAAATCAATGTATTTGAGATACTGTGGTGCTGGAGAAGAGTGCCGAGGATCCCATGGACAGCCAAAAGGACAAACAAGTGGGTCCTAGAGCAGATTAAATCAGAAACCTCCCTGGAAGCCAAGATGACCAAACAGACTGTTGTACTTGGGATACATCATGAGAACAGAGGACAGGAGAAGTCCCAGTAGATTGGAGGAGGACAAACATTGTCCCCATCTTCAAAAAGGGGAAAAAAGAGGATCCCAACAACTATCACCCAGTTAGTCTGACATCAATACTGGGAAAGATTCTAGAACAGTTCATTAAACAGAGAGTCTGTGAACATTTAGAAGGGAATGCCATAATCACTAAAAGTCAACATGGGTTTCTGAAAAACAAGTCATGCCAGACTAAGCTGATCTCTTTTTCTGATAAAATTACCAGCTTGGTAGATGAAGGGTAGATGATTTCAGTAAGGCTTTCGACAAGGTCTCCCATGATATTCTTGCAAATAAGATAGTAAAATGTGGGCTAGACAATACAACTGTTATGTGGATTAGTAACTGGTTGACCGACCGAACCCAAAGAGTGCTCAGCAATGGCTCCTCTTCATCCTGGAGAGAAATGACCAGTGGGATGCCACAGGGTTCTTTCCTGGGCCCAGTGTCTTCAACAGCTTTATAAATGATTTGGATGAAGGAATAGAGGAAATGCTTCTCATATTTGCAGATGATACCAAATTAGGAGGAATAGCTAATGTCCCAGAAGACAGGATGAAAATTCAAAATGACCTTAATAGATTAGAAAGCTGGGCCAAAGCTAACAAAATAAATTTCAACACAGAGAAATGTAAGGTATTGCACTTAGGGCAAAAAAAAAAAAAAATGAAATGCATAGATGGGGAACACCTGGCTTAAGGAGACTATGTGTGAAAGGGATCTAGGAGTCCTAGTGGACCTCAAGTTGAACATGAGTCAACAGTGTGATGTCGCAGCTAAAAAGGCCAATGCAATTTTAGGTTGCATTAATAGATGTATAGTATCTAGATCAAGGGAAGTAATAGTGCCACTGTAATTTGCGTTGGTCAGGCCCCACCTGGAATACTGTGTCCAGTTTTGGGCACCACAATTCAAAAAGGATGTTGAAAAACAAACGTGTCCAGAGGAGGGCGACTAAAATGGTGAAGGGTCTGGAAACCATGAATCCCTATGCGGAACGACTTAGGGAACTGGAGAAGAGACGGTTAAGAGGTGATATGATAGCTGTGTTTAAATATTTGAAGGGATGTCATATTGAGGAGGGGGCTATCTTGTTTTCTGCTGCTCCAGAGAATAGGAGTCGGAACAACAGATGCAAGCTATAGGAAAAGAGATAATAATGTTTTAAGGGGGGGAGGGAATTTGGCTTGTCTGTACTATGTAATATTTTATTGTTGTTAGCCGCCCCAATTGAT